CTTAAAATCATTGAATATGGTAAAAGAGTGCCTCTAAATAAATTAAAAGGTGAAATAACTCTTTAGTTTAGTGAAACTAAAGAGTCTAGTGTGGACAGATGAGACTACCTAACATTTTGTCCTGACAGGCAGGAAATGGGGTGAAGCTGCTATTAGACCCAGCAGGTTCTGCTTAACACTCATGATGCCCAGTGAATACAGCTGTGCTGTCACCCTCCCCGTACTGTAACAGTTACTGTTAGAAGAGCTGACAGGCAAGAAGATAATATGTTGTGTTCTGCATGGAATAAGCCCCACTAGTTTGGCAATGTCTGGACCCGAATCATGAACAGAATGCTTCAACAAAAAATTTAATTAGAGTTTGCATATGATCAAATGATTTGATTAAACACTTACGACTTTACACCTTATGTGATTGAGCCGTTTTCTGGACACCATGTCCTTTACAGTGCGCTTTTTCAATTGCATAGATTTTAACAGTATTGCAGTTGTCTTAACGACTAGGTTAATTAGCAAGCTATGACCATCCTTAGAGTATCAGCTGACAAGTCACAATGTGCATTGTACATCCTGGGTAAACACATTGTAAACTGTCTGTAATCCATTTTGCACTCTTTTTACTACATGGCAGAGATCCAGATATACTCACTCTTACCATCTATCTATAATGTGACTTTTTACTTGGGTGTGCGTGTGAGAGAGAGAGTTGGCAGTGTGGACACCCTTAACCTGTAGCATTACTTTTTATTAAAATCTCCATTACTATAAATTATGAAACTGCATTCAGCGCTTCAGCTGTGCACTTACTGTATAGTATGTAATGAAATATGCGGTCATAAGCTTTGTTCCAAAAGCTAGTGCTTTGACTTTTATGGTGGCATCCTAACCAAATGATTTGGAATGACATATAGGGGCAGCAACTCGATTGTGTCACACAAATAGCATTCCTGATGCCTTAGAATTAGACTAAACTGAAGTATTTTTATAGACTGCACAGTTAAGGTGCCTACATTTTGGAAAGACCTTCACATTGGGAGTGCCTCTGTAGACAGTTTACTAGGTTTTAGAACCAAACAATAGCATCAAGAAGTGCAAAAGACTGAATGGCCATGTTGATTATTTTACATGGATTGTGCATGCCTATATTTAACTGATGTAATTCTTTGCAATATATATTACATTGCAGTATATGTCTGTTTTAATAATCTATGCATGTCATAGTCCTCAAATGTCAGATGTACCTGAAGCCCTGTTATGATCTTGACTGAAAAACACTTCCTCGTGTACTGTAGGTGAAATG